TTACTCACTCGCCACTGCATGTGCCAGGCTGTCAGACCTGCACCTTCCGGGAGTCTCCTCTTTTGCCTCCCACCTCACAGTAGACAGCGCTGAGGTGATAGCAGCAGCTCCTGCTTCCTGCTCTTGCGGATTCCGAGGATCTGAATTTGGGTCCTCCCACTCATTTTACCTCCTGAGCCTTCTCCGCAGCCCACAGTGGCTTTTGATGTCCTCTTTCCACAAGCAGAAGATCAGAAAGCAATTAATCTCTCTCTCAGATCACTCTATAGGCTGAGCAAATGTGACATGTGATGTGGCTTCAGTCCTTCAGTTGGAACACCTGAGCTTCCGTTGTAGGAAGCAAGGCCGGCTGGGAGCATCTTCTCTCAGTGACTGAAAGATCTAGATTGTATTCAGAACCGGTGATGCAAACCACACTCCCAGTGTCGTGGAGAGGCCACAGGGCCCTCTGCTGGCTGAGGATTAGGGTTACAGACGTGCTTCCTTTCTACCACCCTCCCATTCTCTCCGGCCATTTCCAAATTGTCTGAGACACTCAGCATTACTTCAACAAATTCCCTTTCTGTTTAAACGGGCCAGAGTTAGAGTTGGCTACCGTGGCAACTCTCTCTGATTACATTGAGTGTGGTTTCTGTATTTAGTTCCATGTTAAAACAGAAACAACCCCTGACATGGTTTCATCACACACATTGATACTGAGAGATTATGAACATGGGCTTTTAAATGACATGTGTTAGAATCCCACTATGAGCCAGGCATGGTGACACAATGTCTGTAATCTCAGCACTTGGGAGGCTGTGGCAGGAGAACTGTGAGTCTGAGGCCAATTATACATAGGATGTTATCCTACGGATCCTATGTACACATACGTGCACAGACAATACACAGGATAGCCTGTCTTAGGGACGGGGGGGATGCCTCAGCTGGTAAGAATGCTTGCTACCCAAGCATGGGGACCTGAGTTCACATCCCCATCCCCTGGCATCACGGCCACTTCCTCCTGTGTCCCCAGCACTGAGGGAGCGGGAGACAGGCGGATCACGGGAGCTTGCAGCCTAGCTCCAGGTTCACTGGGAGACCCTGTCTCGAGAGAATAAGGTAAAGAGTGACAGCATGTTCATATGCTCATATACCACACACACATACACACACAAATAAATAAAACACAAACTTCAAAAGGGTAGCCTATCTGTAAAACAAAACAAAATAGGAGCAGAGGGTAAAGGTATTTGCCAACAAACCTGACAATCTAAGCTTGGTCCCCAGGTTCCACACACTAGAAGCTTTCTTCTGACCTCCTTCACACACACATAGACACACACCCGCCCTAAATAAATAATAATGTAATTTTGAATATTAAAACCAAAACAATTATGCCTATATTTTGTTTTATTTGGCCCTTGTGAAATCCACAGAGGTAACATGAAAACGACGTGAACTTGGTCGAAGGGGAGCCATACAGAAGACATTGTTGTGGGATACCTGGCCATCCTACTCCATCCCTGATAAATACCCAGAGGCTTCTCTCCCTGGGAAGAAGGACTGACTCATCTAATTCAAGGGATGAAAGAAGAACTCAGATAGGTAGGTGTGGCCGACAGCTGCCAACATCAATATCAGTGTTCCCCCCACACGCCCTCACCCCCCCGCCGGCCCTTCTGAAAGAAGCCTGATCTGGTCTACCTGCATCTGAGGGGTGAGTCTGTCATTCTGATGCTTGGCATCAGGAAGGGCACTGTTACTGTCCCCTTAGACTGTGGCTTCTATCTCGACTATTAGCAGCAATAGAGGCAATAATTTAATCCCACCACAAGTTGTTTCGGAACTTGGCAGGATGGTCCCTTTAAGCCTTCGACTCTAATAGATTCATGAAAATTGTTTCATATACATTTTCAGAGAAATATTCTACAAATTTAATATTTTTGTTTATTTAGTATTATTTCCTACTTCTCTCTGTCTAGAGCCAATAAAAACAGAAAAATCCATAGTAATTTAAAAAGAAAAGTTCAGTATAAAGAATGAACTAAATAGAGGATTAACTAACTGAGGGGCCAGGTCAAGAAGTAAACAGAACTTTAAAGGATGTAGGAACAGCAAATATAAGGAGCAGCCGCTATCCCCGAGGGAGGCAGGCGACAGAAGAAAAGTCCTGTACCACAGCCTAGGCCAGGCTCAGACTGCAAGTGTGCACTCAGCTGGGGCCCACTGGAAGACACAGAAGTCACTGTGGTGTCCTGCTCTCTGGAATGTGCTGGCAACACATTGGCCAGGTTGCCAGGGAAAGTGGTTGGGACTCACTAGCCGCACAGGGATCTGAAGCTGCTGGAGGTTGGGAGCCAGTG